TATCTATCTATCTATCTATCTATCTATCTATCTATCTATCTATCTATCTATCTATCTATCTATTTGTGACTCTTGTTGTCTTAGAAGTTGCTGTGTAGTCCAGGCTGGCCACCAACTCAGAGCAATCCTATGGCTTCAGCTTCCTGAGCGCTACAACTTTTTTTTGGAGACAGAGTTTCTCTGTGTCTTGGGCTATCTTGGACTCACTCTGTAGATCAGGCCAGCCTCAAACTCACAGAGATCTGTCTGCCTCTGCCTCCCTGAATGCTGGGATTACAGGCATGTGACACAGTGCCTGGAGAGTGCTATAATTAAAACCATGTGCTACTATGCTTAGCTTTTTTTTTAAGATAGGGTCTCCTTCTGTAGCCTAGGCTGGCCCTGAATTCATCATCCTCTCACCTTACCTCCTGAGTCACAGAATTATATGCATGTGTTACCACACTCAGTTTTTGTTGTTGTGGCTTTTGAGATGAGCTATGTTGCCCAGGCTATCCTCAAACTGCCGGACTTAAGCAGTCCCTTCTGCCTCAGTCTCTCAAGTAGTCGAGGCTACCCACATGAGGACTAGCAAGACGCACGAGTGAAATAAAGCTCATCTGCACTTCCGAGTCGAGCAAGAGCAATGGGAGGCTTGGAGAGACCGCTCAGGTGTTGGGAGCATTCACAGCTCTTACAGGGGACCCAGGTTTGGTACCTAGGGCTGGCAGGGCTGCAGTAGTCTGCTACTTCCCATCCAGGAGATTAGAGCCCTCTTCCCGACTCCACCTGCACGGCACACATGTGACCCAGGTACATACACCCAGCCAAAATACTCACATAAACAAACAAAGAAGTCTCCTGTCAAAAAGGAGAGACTTGTGGCTGGGGACAGAGCTCAGTGGCAGCGTCCTTTCCCAGCATGTGGAAGGCTGGGGATTCCACCCAGAGAGGTGTCGATTGTCAGCGTGTCAGAGCTTTCCTCATTTTGAGAGGTCTTTACTATGGCGTGTTTTTTATTGGTATGGTGCAAAACCATCAAATGCAGTCATTCTTTTTGGTCCAGTCACTGTGAGCAAGCACTCACGAGTGTACCAGGTACCAAGCCTTGTGTAGGAGACAGAATCAACAGGCAGCCCTTGGACACTTACAGTTTAGCAGGGTGGTTTCCAAATAGCCAATCAGTCCCAGCTTTCATACAAACGTGGTGCATTTTGCTTTTGATGGATTGGAAGGAGTTCTCTCTGTCTTCGCCGCTAACATTTAGGGGAAGTTCCACGTTAATGATACGATCTTGTGTGCTCTGGGAAGCGGGTGCCAAGACGGAAGTCATGCAAAGGTTTTATAAGGGGCGAGGCCTAGGAAAGGGATGGGGGATTCCTGCATGGCCCCACTCCACTCTGTCAGGTGGGTAGATACTCCATGGCTGGGAGGGTGGGCCTTCTCGCCCACGGAGCTCAGCTGCCCATAGTCATTGCTAGGGAGCGTTGCTGGGGAGCGTGGCCTTAGGTTGTGGGGGCCACAGGGCCAGGCTTTGGACAGTTAAGCCGTCTGTAGTCACATGTGCTTCCTCCAGAATCCAGGCTTAGCTGAGAGCTCAAGATGCCTTCGGTCCTACCACCCACCTTGCCTTTGTTCTGAGCCCTTGCCAATCGGTGGCTGTCAGTACAGCCACAGGTAGGGTTGTCTCCTGACACGGGCCACTGCACAGAGGAGGACCCTGGTGTCACTGATACATCACATACATATTATTCGGTAGTAGAGAAGATAAATATGGGAAGGGGAAGCCCAGACTGAGGCATTACGGACACCAGTCTTTCTCTCTGAGACCGAAATTAACGTACACCTGCTGTCTGAGCACTTTGTTGACGACTCAAAAGTTTGGGACTCTGAACACAAGTTAGAAGAACGGGAATTGGCAGTATGTTGCTGGGTAACGGAAGGAGCTTTGGATTTATAGGAGGATTGCCACACACACACCCTGCTTTTACCGCATGCGCAGGGTGCCGGGATCTGAACTCTGGTCCTCGGGTTTGCATGGCAAGCCTTTTACTTGCTGAGTCATCTCTTTAGTCCTGAGATGTCTCCATTTTTGTTGTGCAAAGGGCAGATATTTAGAATGTCATTTTAATGCCACACATTAATGATGATGAAAACAACAACAACACCAACACCACAGAGGTTCCTTCAGTGAGAGTTTTCTAAGTCTGGAGGGCTTTTTCCATGCTGTGAACAGAATGGACTTGTGGGCTTGTTAGAAGTGGTTCTCTAAGTTTCAGTTGGTCTAAACTAGTCAGCAATTTCCCCCCCCCCCCCCATTCCCACAACCAGTACAAACATCACCCACCACTCTCCTGTGTTTTCCTCCTACGGGACTTTCTCCTGGGCAGTTACAAACCTCGGCCCTTTCTGATGGTGGCGCCTGACACTCCTAGCACTTCTCACCACAGCGGCTTAACTGGAGACGGCAAAGAAAGGCTTCAGGCTCTGGAATTACCCGCCCTGGGATCAAGCCCGGGGTCTTTGGATAGCTGGAGGGCCTGCTCCCCCTCTGCTCCCTGAACTCTCACCCCCGCCCTCCAGCCCGAGCTTTTCTTTATTTCTTGAGTGATATCTGTGCTTCTTGTCAGTGATTCCAGCGATGGGGAGTAGGGCTTTCTAAGAGCAGTTCCTGCGATAAGAAGAATGGCTGGGCAGCGTAGATGCCTGTAATCTAGCACTAGGAAAGTTGGGTCAGGAGGTCATCATGAGTTCAAGGTCAGTAAGTCCACTCTGGGCCATAAAACATGTTCTGGTCCAGACTGGGAAACAGAGCCAGACCTTATCTTAAAGAAAACCAAACACAACAACAATGCAAAATAACAAACAAACAAAACAAAAGAGGCAGGGACTATACCTTATCTCTTAATTTTCAAAATTTTGATTTGGCTTCCTGGCTAGTATTTCTAACTATTAGCAGCATTTAGCTGTTGTTGTTTGATTTTAAAGTTACTTTCTGCTTGTCAAAAAAACTAATGTTGGTGGCATGACTCTTGGATATAAACGCAATGGTAACAGTCACACCTGGAAAGAACAATGTTGGGTTGGAGGTGTGATTCAGTGGCAGAGCTCTTGTCTAGCTTGTGCGAGCCTCTGAGTTGTATCCCTATCATCACCAACCCAATAGTAACAGTAACGATGATGGTGATGATGATGGTGATGATGATGATGATGATGATGATGATGATGATAATGATGATAATGCCAATAGATTTTTTTTTTCTGTATATGTACATAAAAGTGAGAAGAAACCCTGATGGAGTCTTCTTTCTTTCTTTAACATCACAGACCCGGACATGGCCTTTGTGCCTCTCGGGATGACAGACTCTTTAGTGATTGTGGAAGAGGACGATTCCGCCATCATACCTTGCCGCACCACAGATCCAGAGACTCAAGTAACCTTGCTCAACAATGGCAGGCTGGTGCTTGCCTCTTACGACAGCAGGCAGGGCTTCAACGGGACCTTCAGCGTGGGGCCATATATCTGCGAGGCCACCGTCAAAGGGAGGACCTTCAAGACCGGCGAGTTTAATGTTTATGCCTTGAAAGGTACTTCCACCTCTTTAAGTGAGAGCCACAGGCAAACGAGGCTTTTTAATTTGCGCTTAGCCACCTGGCGCTAGTTTAGGAGTTTAAGATTCTTCAACCACATAATGCAGCCGACCTCTGTAGCTATACTAATACAGGCTTAAAAATCACCACCGGCTGAACTTGCTTCTACGTGTAAGATTGCACGCTCCATGAAAAATACTGTGAGGAATTCTGTCTTGCATAAGCCTTTTACTATTTGATTCACATTCTTGACTAAACAGCCCCAAGAAACAAACATGCACCCCGGGAGGTTGGGGGCCTAGATTAATTTCAGTAACTTAAGAATTGAGCAATTTCAGTGTTGACGGGAGACTGTAGTTAGGCTAAACCTCTTCCCTTTGATGTGAGGGGGTAGCTTGACTGGCAAAGTCTCTCACGTGCTGGGGGTTGCAGTGGAAGATTTTAGGGACATGGAGCAGAAGCAAAAAAAAAGTCACTTGCCTCTTGTTACATACTTATTTTGTGTTGGGGAGGGGCAGAGTGGAGAAGTGACAGTCCAAGAGCGCAGAGACTTAAGGTGGCCAGAAAGAGTGCAGCCATCTTGCCAGATAGATCAGGCATGGTGGTGTTCTGGTTGACAGAGACTGACTTTTGCCATTGTTCTTATTTTGTATTTCTCTAACATAACTATATCCCATGTTGCATAAGGCTCAAAGTCAAGGCTTCCTAGATTGTTTTTCCAGCATTTGTCTTGATTGCAGTAGTTTTTAACACGATTTTTCATTCTTTTAAATGAACTTGATTGAGCTACAGGCTGACTCTGAGATCCTAACTATTTCCTTCGTCGCCTGGTTCTAGCGACGTCAGAACTGAACCTGGAGATGGAAGCTCGGCAAACCGTGTACAGGTCAGGGGAAACGATCGTGGTGACCTGCGCTGTCTTTAACAATGAGGTGGTGGACCTCCAGTGGACTTACCCCGGAGAAGTGGTGGGTACCCCCAGATACGGGGTGCACGGACCCGCCGGGGGGGGGGGGGGGGAACCCACGTCACATGCCTCTGTTGTTTCTCACGGCTAGACACAGCTCTGAGCTTCTCCAGGCCTCCACTTCCCGTCTGGACAGGGGGCAGATTTGACGCCAGGGCCAGGGCCAGGGCCTTTAACATTTCTCGGTCAGGGAGAGGCTGACATGACCACAGAGGGAAATGGGGTGTTCACAGTGCACAGACTCCCAACTGAAAAGTCGGAAGCAAAGAGAACGTTCTGCAGCCGCGACAACGAAGACGCTAGGAAAGCGACAAATGCCTGGATCTTTAATACTAGCTGACTGCGGGGGTAGTCACGCTTCCTCACTGTCTCGACTCCCATGCCTTGGGGTCTTGAGGCACCTGATAGTGCTGCTAGGAAATACGTTATTCTAGTCCTCAGTCATCAAGCTGTAAGTAGCACACCAGAGCTTACTCACGCCATCCACCTGGACCTTTATGTAAAGTGTTCTGATGGCTACAGTGAGTCCATAAGAGCTGTGCATGAAGAACATGAAACTCTAATGCAGAAACGGTGTTTAATACTGTGGGTGGGGGCCTCACAGGGAACAAAACACACGCACATTATCACATATGTATTTTTCTCCCTACTCTTTTTTAAAGATTTATCTATATATATATATATATGAGATATATGAGCGCTGTACTTGCATGTGTGCCTACATGACAGAAGAGGGCATCAGATCCCATTCTAGATGGTTGTGAGCCACCGTGTGCTTGCTGGGAATTGAACTCGGGACCTCCGGAAGAGCAGACAGTGTATAAGCTCTTAGCCTCTGAGCTGTCCCCCAGCCCTTCTCCCTACTCTTTCTGGACCCTGGTCTTTTTGTCACTGGACAACTTTGCTTGGTGCTGAGTACTTCTCTCCCAAGCTTTGGCTGGCTCTTCCTGCCTCCTGGCGGTCCATTTAAAATTCCGATTATTATTGGTGGATGTGTGGGGCAGCACCCTTGGGACAACACGGTGTGGAGATTGGAGGACCACTTTCTTGGAGTCAGTTTCCTCCTTCCACCTTTCAATGGGCTCCAGGGGTTGAACTCAGGTTCCCAGGCTTGTCTGACAAGTGCCTTCACCCACTGAGCCATCTCGCCGAGCCGAGCCAGGTGTTCTTACGTTAGACCTTATCAAAGGCACGCATTCGGGGACACTCACAGCCCAGTATGCTCGTATACTCCTTGCACAATGAAGTGACTTTGTATTTTTCTTCATGCTGAACCTCTTTTAATCCTTAAAACATAGAACTTCCTTTGTGAGGGACAGATAATCCTTTTTTTTTTTTTTTTAATTAGAGTGATTTCTAGAAGGATGGGCAAGGGGTTACCAGCAGGAGTATGGGTCACGTGCCAGTGGCCACATGGCTGGAGAAAACATCTCCCATAGCAACCGCTCATTGCTTACAAGTCCTCAGGGAGGAGGGGCACCTTGCTGGCCCCTCCCCCTTTATATTCTTATTGTTATTTCTGTTCTTTCAGTTTACGCTCGCTCTCGAGCAGCTTTAGGCTTGACGCAAAATTACAAAGTCCCCCTGCCTCCCACATATGCTCGGCCTGCCAGTTGCTAAGTCTCCCACAGAGCACACGTCGCTTAGAACGGATGAGTCCACCGACATTCACACATCTTACATTAGGGCTCACTCCGGGAGGGGCCTTTTAAACGCTCGTTTTCTTGTGTGCTACCTCAGAGAAACAAAGGCATCACCATGCTGGAGGAGATCAAACTCCCATCCATCAAACTGCTGTATACTTTGACCGTCCCCAAGGCCACAGTGAAAGACAGTGGAGAGTATGAGTGTGCAGCCCGCCAGGCCACGAAGGAGGTCAAGGAGATGAAGAAAGTCACCATTTCTGTCCACGGTGCGTACGATTTCCTCAAATGTCAGTCGCCCACGGTCCCCGGGATCTGTATGCAGTGGTTCTTATCTCATGGGAACTCTTCGCTTGCGCAGAGAAAGGTTTTGTTGAGATCATGCCCACCTTTGGCCAGCTGGAAGCCGTCAACTTGCATCAGGTCAGGGAGTTCGTGGTGGAGGTGCAGGCCTACCCGGCTCCCAGGATATCCTGGCTGAAGGACAACTTGACTCTGATTGAGAATCTCACCGAGATCACCACCGACATCCAAAAGAGCCAGGAAACAAGGTACGGGGGCCTTCAAAAGTCACTCCAGGCACATGTGTCTCCTTAGGTTGGTGTACGCCTGGGAACCCAGCCCGGTAGGCTGCAGTGCCTGAGTTCAGACCTGCTTCCAGTCACACTTTAATCACACCTTGTGATAACACCACAGCCTGATAAGTATTTAAGGGAAAAGGAGAAGCAAGGACTAAAAGGTTCTGGCCCCACAACGAGAGGTTGGATCTAGCTAAAGAAGAAAGAAAGATGGAGAATTAGATGTGATTGGACTCAGTGGAGTCCTGGGTGGGCGTCATATCTCAGCATACAGGTGAACCTACACCTGTGAGGTAATTTGTATGTAAACCTACAGGTAACAAAATGCCATTGTTGAGAGCTCATCCGCCCCAGTCCAGGATTCCACTGAAAGTAGGAGTGGAGTCTGATGAAATCTGGGTCAATGGGTCATTCTGGTCCTGACTGTGGGTGACCATGCAGGACGCTCTCATCTCTTAACTAGAGCTGTTTTCCTGAGCTCCTGGTGCCATTGACCAGCCCTGGATACTTATGTGTAGAATTCAGGAGCACTTTTTTCTTCTTTCTTTCTTTTTTTTAGACAGGATCTCATTCTGTAGCCTAGGCTGACCTTAAACTCTCAACAATCCTCCTACTTCATAGCTTCTTGGATTATAGGTATGAACCACTGTACCATTTTGAAGTATTTGTTTAGATAATTCTTCTCCTTGTTTTTCTACTTCTCCTCCTCCTCCTTCTTATCTTTTCCTGGGACAGGGTCTTGCTATGTAGTTATGCCTGGCCTTAAACTTGTAGTAATCCTCCTGCCTCAGCATGCAAGTGCTGGGAGACGAAGGGTTGTTCTGTCCCAGCCGATGTTTCTCATGTCTCTGAGCAGGAATTCCAGGCTGTAATAAACAGCCTCGGCAAGGCAGGCTTGTCAGGGGAGTGGCGCTAGAAAGCTGCTTGTTACTGAGATTTGAGAACCCTTCAGCACTTTGTTTTTTTCATTCCTGGGTGGGCCAGGCAGTGCCAGGTGAGAGGACTACCCACCTGCCTTCATGGAGCTTAAAAACACCAGTGAGCCTACTGCCTTTCTTGGCTAAACAAGCATAGGCTATGAATGGCCCGGATCATCTGGCCATCACAGCTGGGTGTGTGTAGGTGGCCTCTAAGGAAATCCAGTCCCAAAGCCAGTCCAATAGTGGGCAGAGAAGAGAGCTAGCATAGTCTGCTTTTCTACAGGCCCGGCACTTGCAGAATCACTTGGAGCCTATGAAATGCTTTCCCACATTTAATATCATTTAATGAACCCTCAGAATAATTGTGCTCTATGGGCACAATTATCGTATTTTATATGTAACGAAATGGAGGCATAGGGAGTCCAATTATTTCTCCACTTTTGTTCCATCTCAGATGCTTTTTTATATTGCGATGTTTCATCATGAAATGAAAAGCCAAATGTGAAAATACCGTGTGCTCTCTCTCTGTCTCTCTCTCTCTCTCACACACACACACATACACATACACACACACACACACACACACACACACACACACACACACACACACACAGGCACACAGCACAAACAGGCACACACACCTGTAAATCAGAGGACAATTTGGGGGAGTCAGTTGAAAGAGGGTTTCTCTTGCTTTGGCCACTGTGCTCCAGGCTAGCTGTCCTGAGAGCTTTGAGGCAATTCTCCTGTCTCCTCCTCCCATCTCGCAATAGGAGGCTATGGATGGGCACCACTGCACTTGACTTTTCTCATGGGTTTTGGAGACTGAATTCAGGTTAGAGCAGCAAGCACTCTTACCATCTTAAGTATTTTCATTTTACAAAGGCTTTGTTTATTTTCATTCAGAAATGAGGCCTTGCCAGAATTGGTAGCTCCTGCTTGATTTTCTATTGTGTCTATTAGTGAGACCTTCAATGTGCGTAAGCTAGATTAAGAATTTTTGAAAAGACACCAATTTGACAAGAAAAAGAGACTTTTTTTCTTTTCAGAAATAAAATTTCAACCAAAGACAGTAATTGCTTAAACAATTGGTATTTATTTAGTTCCTATTTATTAAAATAAAGTTCTTGTCTCTTAAGGTATCAAAGCAAATTAAAACTGATCCGGGCTAAGGAAGAAGACAGCGGACATTACACCATTATAGTTCAAAATGATGATGACGTGAAAAGTTACACATTTGAGCTGTCAACTCTAGGTATGTAAAAGCCACGTAAAGGTCATGCTCGATTATGGGCGATTGTCCCCCAAAGGCAGCTTGGCTCTTCCTTTCAAAGCCTTGGAGGAAGAGTAAGACTTTAGGATACACTCAGGAACTGGACATGAAACATGTCAGGGGCATCTTGTCACACCTGACAATTCAGGTCCGGGCTGAGCATTCCTCATCCAAAAGTCTGAAATGCTCCAAAATCAGAAAATTTGGTTTTCATCAGAGAAGGAGTTGAGATAGGGTCTAAGTATGTAGCCCAGGCTAGCCTTGAAACCATAATACTTCTGCCTCAGCTTCTCAAGTGCTGAGATTCCAGACGCATGTCACCATAGCTAACTTAAAACCTGAAATGTTTTGAGTGTTCACATGATGTCACGAGCGAAAAATCCTGACCTGACATCCTGTGACAGGTCAGAAAAGATTCAGGCATATAAAAATAGTGCATAAAATTACCGCCTGGTTATGTGTGTGAGTGTGAGAGGTAGATGAATTACGTAGGTTGAATCCTTCCCTGAGACATGTCATTAGGACCCAACTTCTGAAAAGGTCAGAATTCTAAAACACTTCTGAAGAAAGAAAAAATTGTTCTGTGGAAAAAAATTTAAAGTATGTATTATTTTTAGTTTAAAATTTTATTTTATTTTTAAGCATATTTTAAAAAATATTTAGTTTGAATTATTATGTAGATTATGTAAAAGTAAATTGAAGATGAGTATTTTTCAGCTTCCTATTATTATTGCTTTTATTATCATCATCATTATTATTTGGTGATTGAATCCCATGTTTTAAGAGCAAATCAAGGGGCTGGAGAGATCGCTGAATGGTTAAGAGCACTTGTTTCTCTTGCAGAGGACAGGGGTTTGGCCACAGAACATGGTGGCCCCCAAGCTTCTCTAACTCCTCTTTCAGGGGATCCAATATCCTCTTCCAGCCTCCACGAGCCCCAAGTACTCATGCGCATACATACACGCTGGTAGACCACTTGCCTGTCTCTAACTTATTTGACTACCAATTGGCAAAAGGACCTTTAAAATCTAGTGATGTCCCCTGGACGAATGTGGGTGAGGGCCTGATGCTTTTTGTCAAATCTGTTAGTCAAGTCCCAAATGCAAAGATAACTGGGGGATCTTCCTTGCCTTCCAAACTGAAGGGCCCCCCTGCATTCCTCCCTTCCCTCAGTCCAGATTCAAACCATGAAGACACAAAGTCCCCAAACACTGACTCTGAAGTAGCTGAGAGAGTCTGTCCAAGCTGGAGTGTTTCTGTCTGTCTTACACAACCGGTGCCTTGAGGAGCATTTCTGAACCTTTGGGAACGCCTCCCTTGGAGGGATGTTCCTCCACGGCCAGGGACAAGAACTGCCCTGCGCTGACTTCTTCCTCCCTTTGGCAGTGCCAGCATCCATCCTGGAGCTTGTGGACGACCAGCACGTCTCTGGCGGGGGACAGACTGTGAGGTGCACGGCGGAAGGCACACCTCTCCCGGACATCGAGTGGATGATCTGCAAGGATATTAAGAAGTATGGAAACCAGATGTTCCCTATTCTTGTGTGGTCAGATGTTTCTTCCTTGACGTAGAGGACCTCAAGTACACTTTCTTTCTTTGGTTGACCCCTTCTGTGTTTGTGACTGATCCTTTCTTGACCCAAGGCTCATATTACTCACAAAGTATACAATAGGTTTCTGAAAGTGGATTCCATCCTAATGTGTGTGTGTGTTCTCAAAGGACCTTTATTTTCCCTTTTGTTCTTCATTGTTATATTTCTCTTTTAAAACTGCCTTTAATGTGAAGACAAGAAGAATTTTAACAACCACTTTTGTTCAAGCATTTTAACTGTGCCAGCCTATAAATATGTGTGTGTGTGTGTGTGTGTATGTGTGTGTGTATGTGTGCGCGCACATACACATACATTAGCTCACAGTCCTATTTGTGAGACAAGGTCTCACTGTGCAGCCCAGGTTGACCTCAAACTTAAAATTCTCTTGCTTTGCTCTCCCGAGTTTTGGGGTTACGGGTGTGCACCACCGCCCCTGGCCAGCTGGCGTTTCTTATTTCTTATGGTAAACTTTGTTTCAGTGGCTAGACTGGCAATATGAGCAGAAGAAGGGAAGGCAGTGCCCATATGACTGCTCACACCCACTGTTCTTTGGAAGCCAGTCGAGGGCATGGGAGACCCTAAAGGCAGAGTAGAGGTGGTTGTGAGCTTCGCAATAGGAGTGCTGGGAAACCAAACGTGGGTCCCCTACAAGAGCAGTATGTGAGCTCTTCAGTGCTGAGCCACCTCTCCAGCCCCTCCTCCACCTCCTGAAATGAGCTCATGCACTGTAGATTCACACTTCTCCCCGTGGCAAGTAGCTATGTTCAGAATGCCTTGAGTGTGTCTCTGCTGGAGGCTAAGTTTTCTGCTCCTCGCCTTACCCAGAGCTGTGGGGTGACTTTGGGCGATGGGATCTCTAGGTTTAATAGCATAGTCCAGGAGACTACCATAGCCCCAGGAACCCCTTGAAAGCTCCTCCTGGGGTTGGGGATGAGGAGGGAAGGTATTTCTGAGAAAGTGGAAAATTTGGATTGTTAAACACATTTGATGCTCTCTTGTCAGTTTGCTCATAGGTTCAAGATTTGAGATTGGTACTTGTATTTTGTTGAATTTATCTGCCACCTCCTCAGACTATTAGCTTTTAGTTATCCTCCTGCGATTATTCCTCTTGAGCAGGTGCAAATGAATTTTAATGTGAATACACACGATGAAATGAGAAAGCTAACCTGTGTGCAAGGTTCGAAATGTGGAGGGGGTGGGGTCCCTGGTCTTTGTGACTCCTGGTAATCAGATCTCCATTTGTGTCACATCCTCTCCAGATGTAATAATGACACTTCATGGACAGTTTTGGCCAGCAATGTCTCAAATATCATCATGGAGTTCCATCGCCGGGGCAGGAGCACCGTAGAGGGACGAGTGTCCTTTGCCAAAGTGGAAGAGACCATCGCGGTTCGATGCCTGGCAAAGAATGACCTTGGCGTTGGGAACCGAGAGCTGAAGCTGGTGGCTCCCAGTGAGTTTCTCAGTAGGCAGGACAGCCCCGGGTCACCAGCCAAGCACTGTCTTCCTCAGGTGGGATGTGGAATCCCAGACAGGGGGTCACTTAGTAGCAAAGGTCCCAAGACGGAAATCCAGCCCTGTGTGCGCTTGAATCACTGGCCTGGTCATCAGGACCTTCCGTTTGCATTCAAGGACCCAGCTGCACTTGCAGAGGCTGTGGGCATTTTTTGCTTGTCATTTATAGTGTAGCCTCTTTAGTCTGAGCATTGGTGTGGGGATGGAGAATGAGGAAGAAGCTTTTGTCTCCTGCTCCTTAGAATGGGTGAGGCGTATTGGTCTTCCAAGAAACAAAGAAAGGAATGAAGCTCAAAGTAGGGATAAATGGCAAAATGCCGTGTTTCAAATTCACCTTTGCCTTGAGGCTTGTGAGGTGGATGTTTCTGCAAATAAAGTCCTCCCAACTTATTTTCAGTCCTCATTTTCTCTCTTCAAATTGTCCAAGAGGAGATCCCTGGAGCTTCTTTGGAACAAGTGAATAATCACCTTTAATTTCATGGGAATAATCACCTTTAATTTCATGAGACAGTTTAAGCCACCCCTGAAGGGAGCTGGGAGCTCCACCAGCAGGGAGACACTTCTGTTCTGCACATCCACCCCCGGAGTAACCGAGGAAATTCTCTGCTGTGTCTCTGTCTTGCCCCCAGCCCTGCGTTCTGAACTCACGGTGGCGGCCGCGGTGCTGGTGCTCTTGGTGATTGTCATCGTCTCTCTCATTGTCCTGGTTGTCATTTGGAAGCAGGTGAGTCTTTGGAGCCATTAGAATGAGAACAGCTCCTGCTTTCGGTATTTGGTTCAGAGAAGGGGCTGGCTAATTTACATACGTGGCAGACCATGTTAGATCCATGTGTGATGGACCTCTGTGTTAGATCCATGTGTGGTGGACTGGGATACATACATGCATGGTGGACCTTGTTAGATATGTGCGTGGTGGACCATGATAGACCTTCCTGGGCCCAGTCACTTCGGTTTGGCAGTGAAGCTCGGCTGTCTGGAGACTCTGGTACTCATTTACCTGCCCTGCTCATTGCAGAAGCCACGGTATGAAATCCGCTGGAGGGTCATTGAGTCCATCAGCCCTGATGGACACGAGTATATTTACGTGGACCCGATGCAGCTGCCTTATGACTCCAGATGGGAGTTCCCGAGAGATGGACTAGTGCTTGGTAAGTCCCTGCGAGGCTGGCTCCCCAGGACTCCAGGGTCACCTTGCTGGTTATGGACCTGGGGCAGAGTTAGGGACTTGAACTCTGCTCACAGAGCTGGGTGTGGTGGCTCATGGTCTTCACCCCAGCACTGGGGAGGCTGAAGAAGGAGGACTGTGAGTTCAAGGCCAGGCCATGCTACAAAGATATCTTGAGAAAGAACTTACTGGGGCTGAGAACGGGAAGTCAAGGACTGAGAAATGGTCTAGCCTTTGTAAGGCCCCAGATTCTATCCCCAGAGCTGAAAAGGGAGCTAATTAGCTGGGCATGGTGGTATATGCCTGTAGTTTTGGGGTAGGAGTGGTAGAGGCAGAAAGATCATGGGTTCAGTGTCATTATGGATTTCAGGTCAGCCTGGACTACATAAGACCCTGTAAGAAAATACAAAAAAAAAAAAAAAAAAAAAAAAGAAAGAAACTCTTACTTGTACCATTTGAATGTTTTTGGCCTTGCAAAGATACCACAATGGGAAAATGAACTAAGTCTCTCTGACTACGGAGGACTAGCTGAGAAGTGAGATAACCCAGCGTGCTAGAATCCATTCCAAGGGCTCATGAAAATACTTCTTTCTATATCTGCAATGTAGGGTGTAAAAGTACACGCTGGTGTTGTGGGGTGCACACCTCTGATCCTGGCGAGGTGGGAGGACTGGCAGTTTAAGGTCATCCTTAACTACACAGAGTTTGAGACCAGCCGCAGCTACATGAGATCCTGCCTCAAAAAAATCCCAAACAAACACCCTCCAGCTACACACACACACACACACACACACACACACACCCTCTCAAGCAAAACATAAAAATCAGGATATTTAGAAAAGTTTGTCACACTTTTCTAAGACTTTAAATAAAACCCATTCTAAAATAAAATCCAGACCTGAGGCAAAAGAACACCGGCCCTCGAGGCCGTGTCACAGTCAAGGGGTTCACCAGATGCAGTTTTTAGTTATCTGTCTGTCCCATCCCACAGTGCAGCAGAGCTCACACCTCACAGTCACCCAAGCTGAAGGCAAGCAAAGCATCCCACTGGAAGCCATGCTTCTCTATCCTATTTCCCAAGAAGGCATACAGAACTTAGAGAAATTAAAAAGAAATAAAATGGGTGGTGTGTGTGTGTGTGTGTGTGTGTGTGTGTGTGTGTGTGTGTGTGTGTGGTGGCAGCAGCAAAAACTCTTCTGTTCGTCACTTTGTCTCTGTCCTCTTGGCAACACCAAGTTCCTGGAGGAAGAGCACCCTTCCGGGCATCGATGCCGGAAGCACAGACCGGAAGAGAGAGCATGTCCATCCACTCTTGGCGTCTTTCTCTGCCTGGGCTGCCCATGATCAGACTGGCTTCCTGGAAAGACCTCCCTTAGACCACAGCCTCTTTAAGAGTGGAGACAACAGTTTTGATTTCTTTGTCTACCCACACAAAGAAGGGCTGTGCCGGCATGCACAGCCTCTGGCCTGGGGACCTTCCTTTATGACAAAAGAGACCGGTCCAGAGGTTTTCACTCGTACATTCCTCAGAATCAGTGGCATTTGGACTACTGAAGATTTCCAGCGGTTAAAGATTTGTTAATGCGAAGGTTGCCTCTGTCTGCATGCAAAAGACAGAAGGGTGGAGAAACAGGGGGTTTGGGAGGAAGCCATGGAGGCAAGGCACAGGAGCCCAGGCCCTGGCAGGAGCCCATGCTCACACCAGGGAGGGCTGTGCTTGCCTCTCTTTCCTCTGTGTTTCCCTTCCCGTTGCAAATGTTTTTTGACAAAGGCAATTACATTAATTCCCTTCCCTGTGGGCTCAACTCTTTTTTGACGTGATGACTTGGAGGAATAATTAGGCTTGCTCAGTACAGGAAAAACAGCCACCCTGCTGCACACCCTGGGGTGCTGGCCTCTGCCAGCAAAGCCGAGGAGCCTGGAGCTGCTGTTGATGGCTCTGTGTTCCCACAGGTCGGATCTTGGGATCTGGTGCGTTTGGGAAAGTGGTTGAAGGCACAGCCTATGGATTAAGCCGGTCCCAGCCTGTCATGAAGGTGGCTGTGAAGATGCTCAAACGTAAGTGTTTCTTCCCAGGGATGCTTTGAACATGGAGATAGGAAATGATTTGAGAGTAAACTTAAATGTAAAATTAGATTGTGATTCTTTAGACTCTAGGATTTATGCGGATTTAGGCATAGGGTCCTCTTACCTCCCCATTAGGTTCTTTTGCTCATACCCCTCATTGTTGAAAATCAGATGTTCTCATTTCTAATGACTTTTTTTTTTTTTTTTTTTTTTAATCTTGAAGACTAGGGACTATGGGGCTGGGAAACAGCTCAGTGGGTACAGCGCCTTCTATGAAAACATGAGGACCTAAGTTCTGATCTCTCAGCATCCATATAGGAAAGCCAGATGTGGTGGTATGCTCCCATAACCCCAGCACTGCAGGGAGGCAGGAAGAGACAGCTCACTGGCCAGCCAGGTTACTCCACTCGGCAATCTCTCAGGTTCAACGAGAGACTCTGTCTCAAAATATAAGGTCAGGCAACAGTTGAAGAAGACATTGTGATGTGAGCCTCTCTCCTCCATGTGTATTTGTAGAGGCAAGGGCATTCATACACACACACACACACACACACGCACATACACACAGAGTCATCAGCGTGTAGATTGAGGAGATCATCTGGTCCTCTTCCTTTAGACTCCTGGTAAATAAATATCAATGAGTCTAAAGGTGAGATGTGTCTGTCTGAGAACCGGGAGTAGGTCCTTCAGTTGAACTGAAACCTGGTGTACTTCAACAGCCACAGCCAGGTCCAGCGAAAAACAAGCTCTCATGTCTGAGCTGAAGATAATGACGCACTTGGGACCCCACTTGAACATTGTCAATTTGCTGGGAGCCTGCACCAAGTCAGGTAGGCTCTCTGACCTGGGGTGAGTGTGTGCAGGGGAACAACTTTGGAACCAATCTCAGGTTCACGTTACTCTCGCTGCACCCCAAACCTGCCTCATGAGTATAAAGCTCGTAAGTGGAGCCCACTGGTTCCCTTGGCCTTTGGGAAGCTCATCGGTTCTGAGTATAGTGGCTGCTTTCTATTCTCCATTTTCCTACCTGACTGTGTTTGGTCCCTGCAGGCCCCATTTACATCATCACAGAGTACTGCTTCTATGGGGATTTGGTCAACTATCTGCATAAGAATAGAGATAGCTTCATGAGCCGACACCCAGAGAAGCCAAAGAAAGACCTGGACATCTTTGGATTGAATCCTGCAGATGAAAGTACAAGGAGGTGAGTGTCAAGGGCGCCTGCTATGTGCTTGTCACATGCCTCCTAAGTGGAGAAAAACCCTTCCCAACAGATTCCAGGCCTGCACTAGAGGCCACACGGCTCGGAGCCTACCTGGCCATCCATGTCAGCGTGGATGTCTATCTGTATCTATCTGTATCTGTTTTGGACTAGGTCATTACATAGAAAGGCTGTACTGCTAGGTTTAAATGACAGGGGGAGCTGGGATCCTTCTAGGAGCCATTCTTTTTTTTTTTGTATGTGATTCCTCAGGACATGCAAATGCAGCTCTGGCAAGGGATGCCATTTTGTGCCTTGCAAGGAGCTGTTGGAGGATCTCCAGGCTTGAGCTGTTGTTGGTCCTTTTGGAACCTGGGACAGTGATACACACTTGTCTCTTCTCTGTTGTTAAAACTTCTAAGTGAAAGCACAAGGACCCCTCTCTCACTCTTGGATTACTTAATGGGCTCCAAATTGATGTTCATTTTATTTGAGTTGTGGGAACTGTCTGCCTGAGCCACAGGGCCTTGTGGCCACTGAACCAACAGGAGACAACGGTGCCTGCCTTCCTGTCACGAACTCCTCAATGCTGCTGACTCAGAACATTTTTTTGTTTTTATGGGAAGGTAGCCCCCAACTTTCCTGTGGCTCCTGGGGGTGTATGTGCTATTTGTGAGAATGTGTAGAGGAAGGACACTGGAGACAGAGGAGTAAAACATGAAGACGAATCGTGGCAGCTTCTATTTGTGGGGCCCGGTTGGGCCTACAGCATTTCTCTTCTCCTGGGGTAGCATTAAGAGCTTGCTTCCTCCCAGGGGACATTTTTTTCTTCCAGTGTCATCAGCATCACCCTTCCTTCCTAGCACACCTGGTTTTGAGATGACCCATGCGTTCATGACTGATTATCATTCATCTGTCTGCCTGGACCACCCCATGAGCAGTGGGCACACGGAGATTGTTTATGCTCATCCCTGAGCCCTTGATAACTCCCTCCGTTAATGCCACACTGCAGGGACCCACATTAGCATGTGCGTAGTTATCTGTGAACACATTAGAGGCTACCGGGGGGTGAAATTCATTTGTCTTTTTTTTTTCTTTGTTTTCCTTTTTTCTTATGTAGTTACGTGATTTTATCTTTTGAAAACAATGGAGACTACATGGACATGAAGCAAGCCGACACCACACAGTACGTGCCCATGCTTGAAAGGAAAGAGGTTTCTAAGTACTCTGACATCCAGAGACCGCTGTATGACCGGCCAGCCTCCTATAAGAAGAAATCTATGCTAGGTAAAAGTGCCAGTGCCCCTTCTGGCAAATACGATCTTTCTGGGGTTTAACATGCTCCTCAGAGGAAGGGAAAGCGGATGGGAGGTGGTCACGCCAAGCTGGGTGACCCCCTAGGTGCAGGCCTTTTCAGCTGGGCCTAGACATCTTCTTGTAGATTTGTGGTCTGTGAGAGAGAAGACTAAAGACAAGGGCTTGGCAATGTAGCTGGATGGTATGTTGCTTGCCTGGTGTGTACACACTTCGTTCTCCAGCTCTGGGGTGGGGGAGCTATCTAATATTGTAAAGATAACAATAAAGACTAAAGACAGATATGATGTAATCCATTTCTCAAACTTTAAATGTAGTTGCTTTAAATAAATAATCCATTCTGCTATAATGATCTTTTCTTGTTAACATGTCTTTTGTTTAAAAAAAAAAAAAAAATGGAAGTGGCAATAATTGGTGTCTTCTCAATGGCCGAACTGAAACGATTTTACATTGTTTCCTGATGGTTTTCTTTTCTTTTGTTTGTTTTTTTTTTTTTTTTTTTCTGGGAGCTCCGTAATCCTTGCTTCTTAGCTTTTCTAACACACAGTTTGTGATAGTAGCTGGCAGGTAGACAGTTTGAGGTTACATTTTCTGACGAGTGTTCCTATTGACTTTTGTTGAAAGCAGCCCCTTCTATTTTGAAAACAGCTATGTGTCTGTCGGGGAGGACTTCATTTGTAAACTCCAGGCTGCCACATAGGGATGCCACAGCGGAGGGAGCGCCTCACACCTGGCGGCCACTCCAGGGCTCTAGCCAAACCACATCCTTGAAGTGTGTCTAGATGGCCCTGAGCTTTTTCTGAGACTCTGCTGTTTGAGCCTCTCCTCAGCTGCTGCAAAAGGGCAGGGCTGCCATGGAAATAATTTCTGAAAAATCTCTAATATGCTCTGAATGCTTTTAGAGTTCTTAAGCGAAAGGGACGATCCATTAAAAAAAAAAAAATACATGCTTGTTTTGCAAAATTCAGTGTGTAATAATATTTTCTGTATCTGAAGCTCTATTCACTTCACATTGCCAAATGGGTGAACTTCCAAACACTTCTTAAAAGTTTATCCAATGAGAGTTGTTGGAACCAGCGCTTCCTTTCCACTCCCATATGGTTAAAAATAGTTTACATTGCTTCCCAGGCAGAGCTGCTGGACTTGGCACCAGAGTTAGGGGACCTGAGTCATGCTCGGCCTATGTCCTGCTGGCAGGCAGACCACAGTTTTCTGGCCTTCCCTTAGCTGGCTGAAAAAAAAAATATGAATGGCCCAAGCCACTCATCACTGGCCTGAAAATTGTCAAGAAGTACTGAGAACTGCCTTCCTCAAAAACCCAGGGGCCCTTCTAGAGGGGATGATGGGGGAAAGTGGAAAAGTTACGGGCACTGTCCTTTCGGTTGGCTGCCTTGTCTGTGGGATAGTTGATTTAACTGGCAAATTATACACAGAGTGAAAGGGCAATGAAGCAAACTTCAAAAATTTCACAGATGAGCTCAGTGTGTTTGTGTGTGTGTGTGTGTGTGTGTGTGTGTGTGTGTGGTCTCTAAGATGGCTGTGGTGATAGGACTAGGTAGAAAATGGAATCCAAGGGCAAAAACAAACCTGAGAGGATCCGTGGAAGAGGTTGGTTTGACTAATCATTATGCGTGTAACTACTCCCCTCCCCAGGTATGTGTTTGTGCATGCAGGCTGGGTGTCTCTTATCTGAAATTCTTGGAACTGAATGCGTTTTGAATGTTTTTTTTTTTTTTTTCTTCTTCAAATTTTGGAATATTTGCATATACATAATGAGATATCTTGGGGTTGGGAGCCAAATCTAAATACAAATTCGTATCTGTTTCATGCACACCTCAGACACATAGTTGACAGTAATTTTATACAGTTATTTTATTTATTTATTTATTTTTGTGTGTGTGTGTGCTTGTGTTTTGACTATGATCTGTCACATGAAGTCTGGCAGGGGAATTTCTACTTTTGCCATCACACTGATGCTAAATGAGTTTTGGATGTTTGAAGCCAGGATTTTGAGCCAGGAATGCTCAACCTGTGCATATTTGTTTTGGAAGAAAGAACTATTCGTTTGGGGGTTGAAATGTGTGCCTCGTGAAAGCCGGGCAAATGGTGTAGCGCTTCGCCACACCCGCACCCTCCTTTGCACAGTTTCTGTACCCTGTGAAGTCTAAAAACTATGAAAAAAAAAATGCTTTTGGAAGAGATCTTTGGACAAGCCTCTACAACCTGCCAGACCCAGGGGATCAGTACTGGGGGGTCCCGATACTTTCACCCAACACTGACATGTTTGACTCCTTCCCACAGATTCAGAAGTCAAAAACCTCCTTTCGGATGATGGCTCCGAGGGTCTGACTTTGCTGGATTTATTGAGCTTCACCTATCAAGTTGCCAGAGGAATGGAATTTTTGGCTTCGAAAAATGTAAGTTCAAGGCAACAGAGACCCCTTCAGAAGCCAGCCCTAGCTTCAGAGGAAAGGGCCATGGAAAGAAATGCTGGGAGGAAGATCTTAGAGCAGCTCCCATCTTAGAGCAGCTTCTCAGTGTACCCGACATCAGGCTTGGAGTCTGACATCACTGATGTTTGTCTGTCTTTCCCCATAACCTCAGGAGGAGGCAGGAAGGAGAGGGCAAGTTCTTCCTGCCAGGGCGCATTTAAAGTACCACCGCTTTTGTCGGCTTTGCAGGAGTCTTGGTGGCCTCAGCTGGAGCCATTCTGAAGCTTGCTTTTTTTTTTTTTTTTTTCTTTTTCTTTCCATGTAGTGTGTCCACCGGGACCTGGCTGCCCGCAACGTCCTCCTGGCACAAGGGAAGATTGTGAAGATCTGTGACTTTGGTCTGGCCAGAGACATCATGCATGATTCCAACTACGTGTCAAAAGGCAGCGTATGTCCCCCCCCCCCCCAATCCTCACTGCTTGTCCTCCCACACCCTCGTTACTCTTTGAAGTCGTGGTTATGTCTTAATTCAGGAGTCACATTTCTGATATAGGTTCATAAGGTTTATTGCTTGGCTCCTGAGGTCTCAGCAGGGAAATCTTAACAGTCAGACAGCCTGGGGGTTGGTTCCAGCGGGCACTAGGGCTGGTATTTGGCCAAGTTTATTTTCTTGCCTTGGTTTCTCTGTTTGTAGCATCACCCATTTCCTAGATGGCTACAAGGTCAGTGCTTAGTATATGGAACGCCCATCAGGGGCTGGAGAGATGGCCCAGTGGTTCAGAAGAGCACTTGCCGAGGGTCTGGGTTCAAATTCCAGCCCTCACGCGGCAGCTCCCAACCGCCTGGTACTCCAGATCTAGGGACCCGATGACCTTTTCTGGCTTCGATACACTCTAGGCAGGCCTGCGGTGTATAGATACTGCAGGCAAAACAGCAAGACATGTAAAAATTAAAAAAAAAAAGAACAATTAGACACAGCCACTAAGCGTTAATTCCTAATAAATAATAATCCCATAATCAATATATATGAACACACAAGTGTGTATTTCCAGGGAGGTCCCTAGTTTTTAAGCTCTTATCGGATGTGCAGCAGACAAGCTTAACCTTTAGCACACCAACACTGCTTGGATGAATAGGACACTACATTGTCTTTAAAGAGTTTCATTACCTACTTGAACCACCCTCTCTGTCCCATCAGCCTGTAAGCACATGAGGAGTTCGGGACACATCTGCCACCCATAGTTATAATTAAGTGTCCCTTTGCTCCACTGGTACAAGACAGCTCATAGGGCCGAAGCATCTGCCTGGGGAGGGGCAGTGACCTCTGTCCATGCTCTGTGCCCCAGCTCATGCTCCATGACCGTATCCGTGACTCCTCCCAGGCACCCTGGCCAAGTTGCCAAACTTGGGTGGAAAATGATCTCTCACCATAGGTTAGGAATGTCTGCTGTTCTCTTAGTCATCTGGGGTTGGAGGGGGGTGGATGAAGGATACTGGCGTGAAGGATGATGCGCTATGTATCTGACTACACTTAGCATTTTGCCTGAGGTTTAGACCACCTTTGCGGAAGAGACACATCTCGGTGTCTTGTCCTTTTGTGGTGGAAAATCACCACTTGTTTTGTATCGTCTGGAGGCTGTCATTGGTTTCCAGGTTGCTGTGTCTGTGCTTAGTTTTGCTCCTAGGGTGTACCTGAAAAGTGGGTGACTGGTCTGATCAAAGGTCATACTTTATTGGTAAATTGAAGGTTAAATGTTTTTAAGTACACTATTCCTTCAGAAGAGATAAGAAGTGACGTTGGCCGTTCCTCGTTCATTGTTTGCTAAGAATTGACATTGTGGGGCTATGGAGAAAGCTCGGAGAGTGGGGAGCTTGCTGTGTGAGCACATGTACCTGCGTCTGACCTCCAGAACTCATGTCAAAAGAGAGACATAGTGGCCAGTGCTTGTAATCCCAGTGCTGGGGAGGACAGACAGACCCCCAGCAGCTCCTTTGCTAGGCAACCTACCTGAATTGGTGAGTCCCAGGCCAGTGAGAGATCCTTCTCAGAGAAAAAAACAAAAACAAGAATAAAAACAACATGGCAACAAGGACATACACACACACACACACACACACACACACACACACACACACACACACAGAGGCACACACACAGAGGCACACACAACCTACCTAGTTGCCAAGCAAACACAGGAGAGACATGATGCAGGGAAGATCTTTAATGTATTGTTCACAGCCCAGGGAGGAGCCCTTTCTGCTGCTTCTTCTGCAGACATCAGAGCATAGCCTGTGGGTTAATCTCCTCTCTCCTTCCCCGCAGACTTTCCTGCCTGTGAAGTGGATGGCGCCCGAGAGCATCTTTGACAACCTCTACACCACGCTGAGTGACGTCTGGTCTTATGGCATTCTGCTCTGGGAAATCTTTTCCCTTGGTACGGCCTTGACTGCTCAGTTTGTGTGGCTTATTCTGAATAGCGCTAGAAGGGATCTGTGTCTGTCCCGGATCCAGAATGCCAGTTTCGAGGATGACACATGCAGTGTTAACCCCTGGCACTGTAGCTGCTTCACTCTACAAGTCTGCCCTGACCATGTCTGAGTAGAGCCAGAAGGGGTCTCTGTGGGCTGCTTCCTCACCCTGGCCACCACCCTTTTTCTCTCCCCAGTGGCTCCGGAGTGATTTATCCCCCGACCCTCATAGAAAATGCTTCCAATGACATCTGCCTTTTCACTTTGGACTCCATTAGATAGTTCACCAGTAGTTTTCTCCCCCTAATGTGATGGTGAATGATGCTCAGCTGAGAGGCAGTGTGGCAAGGAAGAGAAAAAAGCCCCTTAACATTTGGTCACTTGTCACCAGGGCCTGGACAAATCAGGTGCCTGCTGCCAGGGAGGGTGGTAATCGAATGGTGACGAGGTATGACTGTGACCTTTGGGGACATGTGGGTTACACACTTGGAGGTAAACCCTGTAAGCTGTAATGTGGGTTCAGAGGAAGGACACAGGAGTCTTGGAATGATTTTAGACGCTTCAGAGAGGGAACTGAACTTGACCTGGCCTTGGCTAGAGAGAGTGCTGTCTCTCCCAGTTTCCTTCCTTTTCCTGAAGTCGTGAACTCTCTCAAAACAGCAAATTACCAGCCTTTTAGGCCCTAGCTTTGACTTTGGCTCTAATTATGTGGACAGTTCTGATGAAAATGACATTCTTACCTTTAGTGGCTTAGAAGGCCTCCCCGCCTTGTATGTTTGTATTTGCAGATATAGTAGTTAGAATCACTATCAAACGCTTTGGTATTTCCCTCCCTCGTCAACGTTGCATCCTTTTGGCCTCAAATGATTGAACTTGATTAACCAAGACTGCTATGGCAAGTTTGACCCATCCTCCTGAGTCATGGGGATGATACCCTACAGGGTCTTTGAAAGCATCAGGACATCAGGACTTCAGGATTAAAGGTGTGCGGTACAGTAGAAACCCTCCTTCATCTAGTTATCCTTTCTGGCTCTTAGGTGGCACACCCTATCCTGGCATGATGGTTGACTCTACTTTCTACAACAAGATCAAGAGTGGATACCGGATGGCCAAACCTGACCATGCCACCAGTGAAGTGTAAGTTTCCCCCGCTCCCGTGGGCCCACTACGCCTGTGCTTCAGGGTCTGGGATGGGGGTGGGGGCATGGCTGCCCTCCACACGCACGCCCACGCTCACTCTGAGCTCTGCCTCTGCAGCTATGACATTATGGTACAGTGCTGGAACAGCGAGCCGGAGAAGAGACCTTCCTTCTATCACCTGAGTGAGATCGTGGAGAATCTGCTGCCCGGACAGTATAAAAAGGTCGGTTTGAGCCGGTGACAGCGGGTAGGAGGATGAGGTTCCAGGAGGAGAACGGGCTGGCAGTTATGCCAACGAGCAGTGAGGCTGTGCACTGTCTGAAAGGAACGCTTTCAGAGGAGGACACAGACTGTGTGATCTTGTGACCATGGCTTCGGGGAGTGCTCTCCGGGACCCCAGTAGCAACGATGAATAGAACTGCCCCCCTTCCCACAGGGCTCCCTTTCATCTTATATGCGCAACACCTGTAGGCACTTCACCCCCCCCCCCCCAGACATTTGAGGCTCTGAAGTGAGAGTTCAGTTAGAACTCTCAGGACATCTGAGGCCATTAAATCGCTCATTTGAATGTACTTAAATTCATCTGAAACCGGCTTTTTACCAGCTGACTGGAGGGGATGGTCCCAGCTGTTATCTGTGACTCCAGCTGGTTTCCTGTGGCACAGAAAGCATTGTGCAAGGGAACAAATGTGATTTCATGGACCTACGCGGGAGCCGTAAATGAATAGAGCAATTTTCTGCTGACGCCTCAAGAAGGGAGGCCACGCATGCACGCGTGGGTGATGAATCTTGTCTCAGGCTAAGCACTGCAGACTGGTCCATTTCTCTTCCTTCTCGAGCTGCGACATCAGTACTTTGCCCTGGAGCCTCCCCTCATTTGACCTGAAAGTTCAGTGTGTCAGTCTTGGTTGCTCTAGCACCTGTGCTGCCTCTCATACATGACCCCGAGGGCAGATAGGAATAATTTTCCCAGGTCAGTTGAAGATTCTCTGTCCGTGGGAAGAAGATACTGCTGCTAAGCAGGGGTCCTCCCTTTCTGTCAGTTGTGGATGGTGCTGTTCTGTTCACAGACGGCGCAGATCTCTGTGGTGTGTTGACTTAGAGTTCTTTGGGTGTGTACATCAGAGGAAAATAGTTAGGTCATATGGTAATTATCCTTTTAGTTTTCTGTCTGCTTGTCTGCTTTTTGGTTTTGTTTTTTTGAGACAGGGTTTCTCTGGGTAGCCTTGGCTGTCCTGGACTCTCTTTGTAGACCAGGCTGGCCTTGAACTCGAATCGATCTACCTGCCTCTGCCTCCCTGAGTGCTGGGATAAAAGGTGTGTGCCACGATGCCCGGCTTTGTTTGCTTTTTGAGTCAGGGTCTCTCTGTGTAGTTCTGGCTTTCTAGGAAGTCACTATGGAGGCCAGTCTGGCCTCAGACTTCCAAATCCTGGGCTTAAATATATTTGTCACCATGCCACAACTTACTTTTAGTGGTATTTTTACTTTTGAAGAGTAAAAATACCTCCATATAGACCTCCAGTACGGATGTATGTACGGATAAAGGCGGATATACCGCCTTTATCAAGACAACCTTGTCAGTATTTGTCAGCATTTAATTTGCTTTCTTCTTGATAGCCACTTTGACTGGATTAAGTGGCTTTCCTTTCCTCCAATGGCTTAGCATATTGAATACATCTATCTATCTATCTATCTATCTATCTATCTATCTATCTATCTATCTATCTATCTATCTAT